TTCTATAATGAAAACCAGGCCCATTCAAGCTAAGTATAAGATGAAGAATACATAAGCAGTAGTTATTGTTGGTGAATGTGGTACCCGAGATGGCTGAAGGTGCCTGCATTCATACCGAGCAGAGTATATGTCACACATTTTTATACCCAAGTTCTTGCGTGCATATATCAGCGTTTGTAAAGCTTTTGACATGTATATTGGATTAACCTTCTAGCACTGTTGTTTTGACCAATGGAGAGCAGACACAAAAAAACAAATGTTGTGCGTTTTCAGGTACACCCATTAAAGTCTACAGAGACAAAAATGACTGCTTATGCTTATGCTATGAACATCGGTCAACTGAGTGTAAAGGTGCGACGAGGGACAATCGGAAAGATTAGGACTCTGCATTTGAGAGTAGTCAGGCGTAGGGAACCGCACAAGTGTGAACGTGTGTGTGTGTTGCTCCATACAGCGTGAAAAGCCGGGTATTGATGGCCCAGAGCTGTGGGAAGAAGCATGCAGACAGCTCATCTATTGATAAGAAAGAAAATAAAGAAATGTCACCAGCACACCGGACTCCTTCAAGGATAGTCAATCGCGGATTTATTCAAAACTTATGTCAAATACACAAGCGCTTTCCGGACCACACAGGGTCCCTTCATCAGGTATAGCAGTAACTGCTATGCCTGATGAAGAGACCCTGTGTGTGTATTTGACATAAGTTTCGAGTAAATCCACGATTGACTATCCTTGAAGGAGTCCGATGTGCTGGTGACATTTCTTTATTATCTGCAACTGGCGGCACCATCCGCGGTCATTCCAAGCACCCTTCCCCATATTTGGGCCTGTCCGGTAAGGAGTGCAACAAACCTTTCTCTTCATGTCCAACAAGAACTGTGTGCCCTCAAGCTGCTTCCTGCAGCTCCAAGTTTTAACAGCTGCACACAGGCGGTGTGCAGCCTCGGACGCAGACGTGATCGATCCAGGTCTATATACTGGCTGTCAAAACATGGAGCTGTGGGAATTGGCATGAGAGGGTGCACAGCTCCTGCATTACCATAGGCCAGGGGTGGGCAATTCCAACCCTCCCACTGTTGTGGAACTACAGATCCCATTAGGCATTGCAAGACTGACAGTTAGCCCTCGTTCACACCTGAACGTTTTGTAGCGCGTTCTACGCTCGACGAACGCTCTACAAAACGCTCAAAAATATAAATCCCATTGTATTCAATGGTCTCGTTCCCACCCACGGGCGTATTTCCGCCCGTCCCTAACGCGCTACAAAACAGCCCACGCCTGAAAAGGTACAGGTACTACTTTGGGCCGTTTTGTTGCGCGTTTCCATTGGGATACAGCCAAGTAGCCTTCGGAAACACGCAACTTTTTTTACCGCGAATCGCGGTAAAAAAAACCGCGACTGACGCGCATATGCAATACGCCTAGGTGTGAACGAGACCTTACAGACATGACTCCCAGAAGCAGAGGCATGTTGGGATTCGTAGTTAAATCACAGCTGGAGGGCCAGACTTGCCCACTCCTACCATAGATCTACATGAATAGTAATAGTCTCTGGCGTATTAGCAGCTCCACGTGCCGAGCCCGCCAGGAAGCTGACAGCGCCAATCACAGGTACTGAGACATGTTCCCGGTCCGCAGCTGCGGAGATCGGGAAATGTCTCAGTGCCTGTGATTGACGCTGCGCGCTGTCAGCTTCCTGGTGGGCTCGGCACGTGGAGCTGCTAACACGCCCGAGCCCATCACTATACATGAGCAATAACACTGTACAGAGCAACTCTCCCTATGTGAATGAGGCTAAAGAGTCGCCACGGACGCTATAACCTCTGTGTAGGCCTTTTTTGATCAAATGCTCAGTTTCATGGGTTCCAAAAGGTTTACTTTAAGAGGTCCACTGACACCTAGCAGTGCATTAAAGTGCGTTGTGTTAAGGCAGCCTATTTATTCAAATGGGCTGCCAATGCACCCCAACCTCTAACAGCACTCCGCAATGCACCATAGTGCAGAATGCAGGTGCATTCCCTTAGTGGATTGGGGGTGCCACTCAACTGTAATGGCACCGTGGTGTACTAACATGGGTATGGTGCGTTACTGCAACGCATAGGTGTGAATGGACTCACACCTATGGAATGGAAAGTGACTGTGGTGCTTCCCAAAGCATCCCTCCTGCTATAGAAGACATTACATGTATCATATATTTGATCCTGCAGGAAGGAGAGGGATTATTCTCAAAAAGACCCTCATTAACAGATCTACACACTGGGAGCTTTTCAAGAATTTATGGAGATTAAATGGAGATTTCTGCCCTCAACCCAATGCTCTTGTCTAGTATGTATTATGACAGCAGTTGATCAGTGACCATAAGAACCCCAGGAAGTTAATATGGGAATGGATAATTCATACCTACCCGCATTCATATCTAGTTAAACATACTGTTAAGTCATAGAGCTTATGAGGCATTCCCGTATACTATAATCTTCTCCCATTAAAAAGTAGATGTACATGGGACAACAAGGAGAATAGGGATGAAGGTTTGTCATAGTCTTTAGTTGGGCTTTAAAGAACTCAGGAATGTTAAAAAGTTAACCCTTGCAGTGGTGGGGCAGTTAGCTGCTCATTTTGGGCTCAAATAAAGCAAATTTACTCACCTGATCCACGATCCTGCCTGGCTGGCTGGCTACTAGACCGGTCCCCACAGCCTCTTCTTCCCCAGGCTCCGGCGGTCTAAGGACCTGTGATGTCATCACATCTAATGCAGTCCATTCATGTTCATTAGCCATAAGGAAGCCAAGGGGCATACCTCATAGCATAGCAGAGGAGGAGAGAGTGGATCACTCACCACAGGACCAAGGATCAGGTGGGCATATCTTCTGTATTCCAGCCCCTAGAACAAAATGGGCAGTTAACCCGTGCAGTGCCAGTGTAGCCTCACTGCAAGGGTTTAAAAAACTGGTCAAGTCTGTACAATTGCCAGCAGCAGAAAAGATGTAACCGCGCGCATCACCCTAATCCACACATACAAGTCATGTTCTTAGGATCATAGGATGTTCCTAGAAATCAGTAGGTTGAGCCTTTGTATGTCATCTAGAGTTCCAGTATTACATGTGCCAGCACAATCATACATGGCTCTGGCGTTTGGACAGCAGCGACCCCTAGCGGCTGACACATGTCCGGCTCTGGTGTTGGGACAGCAGCACCCCCTAGTGGTCGGCAGATGTCGGATAATACTGGAAATAATGCTATTATACAACGCATCTTCACTTTAATTAACACAACACGTCTATAAGTGTGTACTTCCTGAGCCAGGCCAGTACTTCCGTGACCTTCCGGTCTGCAGAACATGTCTCTGACTGTCTGCCTGGCAGTACATATTGCACTCACCATGCCGTAGTAGGACGCTGTACGGTAGATAACACATCGCACAGTACGGGTGAAGCTCCCAATGATCCCCATTCTCACGGCCGGTGTTCTATAATCCCATTGGACACGTGACACCGGGAGAAAACCTCAAGTAAGGGAGTGACTGCAAATCACGTACCGCTCACTAAAAAAAAGGAGCAGATCCCTTCCATCTACTACATTCCATCTTATTCTTTTACTCAGTGATTCCCACCACAGACTTCACTGTGTACCTTTAAATGAGCAGGAAGTACAGTGCAGATAGCTTATACCGTTAGACTATGCAGGAATAGCTCTACCCACAGGATTAGGTAGCTACAGTATGTGCAGCTAAACGTCAGCCAGGCTTGTAGTTGTAGCTCTGTTAGCTACTCATATTGCTGAACAGTCAGGCGTTAGCTTTGGTTCTTACTAGGAACTGTATAGTACATTGGCAGACGCTCCCTAGTGTGTAGTATAGGGGTGGGGCCGGGGAGTATAGTGGGCAAACATATTTCAGTACTGTAATCTTATAAGGAGAGGACAGCAGGGCTGGCCTTAGGACTTTAGGCGCCCTGTGCGAGAAAGCTTTACAGTGGCCCTCAGTGACCACACCCCTCTGTAACCCCACCCCTCAGTGGCCACACCCATTTCTCCTTTACCAGCACCATTTAAAGCCTCCCATTTTGTTAAAGGAGAACTATGAGATGAGTGATTTCCACTCACCTCATAGTTCTAGCCGACCTGTGACAATGAGACTGTCACAGGTCGGCTCAGTAGATCGGGAGGTGAGCGAACACATACCGGGTTCGCTCATCTCTCGAATCCTGACAGTAAGTTTGGTATTTTTCAACTTCCTTTAACAGGCCAAGCTGTCTAGTAATAGTGGCAGATAGATGGTTGAGACAAACCATCTAACACTAAGGCTGGGTTCACACCTGGGCGTATCGAATATGCGCGTTTGTCACGCGTTTCGTGCTGTGCATTTTTACCGCGATTCGCTGTAAAAAAAACGTGCGATGAACGCGCGTTTCCGAGGGCTACCTGGCTGTATCCCAATGGATACACGCGGCAAATACGCCCCAAATAAGCTCCTGTACTTCTTTGGGGCATAGGGCGTTTTGTAGCGCGTTCATACGTCCTGTAATACGCCCAGCTGTGAACCATACCCATAGGAAATAATGGGATTACGGCGTTTGAGCGTTTTGCAGAGCGTAGGAACGCGCTACAAAACGCCCAGGTGTGAACCAGGCCTAACGGTTGCTTAGAGTGGTCAGCTTTTACTCGTTTTTGTAAAACCTTTATCCCAATATGAAACATAAAACTGTTACTGTAACTGATTAAAAAGCTTTAGCTGGAGTTCAGATTGAATTTGTTAGTCAAGTCTATCAAAATCCGCTAGAGCATCTAACACTGCCCTCTCCACAGAGTGACATAGAGTGGAGCCACGCTAGGACAGGAAGTGTATTACTGAACAGATCACCAAGTGAACCTAAAGGAAAAAAAATTAAAAAAAATAAAACAAATGCAGTCACCACTTTAAAGGCTTGGTAAGCTGCAACATAATACATATTTGTTTTTGGGTTTAGATATACTTTAATTTGACCATCAAGAAATAAATCATAATCATGCCTTCATCCAAAATACTTTCCTTTAATTCCACAACATGATCTACTCCTTTCCCCAGACCATGCGCATTGTGATTGGTAACCATATATACTTTGGTGATTAACCTCGTTCTCTATGGTTTGGGAAGCTTGGAGGAACAGGTAATTATTTTTCAATACAGAGAAAATTGCAAAGACACATGAGATACACCATTTCTTAAAGAGGACCTTTATATCTTTGAAATGACAACAAATTCACCTTTATAAATGTCTAGTAATGACAATCTACAAACAGATACTTTTCCAGATAATTGCTGGCTTTGCATTCTTTGCATACCTTATTTTTCTTTTCTTCCCCATTCTCACAGTGGCCATGTTTACTAAGGGCAGATTAATCCATCTCCCTTTACTTCCTGGAACTCTGGCACATGTGACTAGAACATGTGACCATGCACATCATCTTAGGGAAGGAAAATGCCTTTCTATGAGATCTCGTGAGATTACAGATGAGATTTCCCAGCAATGCTCTGCTGATTTAATTTTCCCAAGATGCATTGTTTGGGCACATTACATCACCAATGCCCAAGAGGACCAGGAAGTGGAAAAACAATAATTTAAATAAAAGCAAAATATGTTTGTTTAATGTATAATGGTAAAGGTCCACTTTTAATGTAATATTCTTCCTACCTCTTTATGACTTGATGTAAAATACACATTGAAGATCCATTGCCAGCATGTTTTAAAGGTTTGTGTGATTTTTACTATACATCTGCTTCTATTGCTAAATAGTTTTTGACTAATCATGTACTTATTCCTTAGTGTGTTTATACCAAGCGGTCATTTGGGAAGATTCTAACCATTTGTTTTAAAGGGTACCAGAAAAGATCTGCGATAGGTTTATTACCTACCACCTATAGGTTTATAACCAACCTGTGACTGAGTGAACAGTATTTCCCAAATATGAATGTATGAATGATCTATTATACTGCTGTGATGTACAAAACAAATATAAAATAAACCTTTACGTGCCGGACCAGGAACATGTAGGCTGAGCCCCTTCTACCTATCCTTCAGATCTGTATGTTGTCATAACCCCTTCTGTCCCTTTCAAGCCCCCACTCATAATTACTAGGGGCTTAGCTTTCAGGAGGAGACCAACATAGAACAGAGGATCAGGAGTGTGCGTACAATCAGAGGATATGGCAATATAACACCTCCAACTATTAAGGTGCCCATACACTGCACGATTCTCGTACGAGAATTGCGGGAAATCCCACGATCGTACGAGAATCGTGCAGTGTGAACGAAGACGTGCGACCGTTTCCACTGTACGGTCACACGTCTTTTGTCTAAGGAGCGTGTTAGAAAACCAGCCGAAAATCGTAAGATTTTCGGCTGGTTTGAATGATGCTCGGGAGACAAATGCAGAACGAGCCGTTGTGCGCACGAGCACACTGCCCGTTGAGCATTGCGGTCATCGCAAGTACGATCTGCCTGTCCAAGATGGGCAGATCGTAAGTTTTTTAAATTACTTTACAAACATTGCATGACTAAGGTCTTGCGATGGTTGTAAAGTGTATGGCCACCTTAAAGGTCTTGCGATGGTTGTAAAGTGTATGGCCACCTTAAGGTCTTGCGATGGTTGTAAAGTGTATGGCCACCTTAAGGTCTTGCGATGGTTGTAAAGTGTATGGCCACCTTAAGGTCTTGCGATGGTTGTAAAGTGTATGGCCACCTTAAGGTCTTGCGATGGTTGTAAAGTGTATGGCCACCTTTACCCATGTGCTTAGGCTTTTGCACACCTGCGTGAACACATTGACAGCAGGTGGGATGGCATCAGAGCAAATCTGGAGCAGCTGCACAGCACTGAGGTAGAATAAAAATCTGTTCCTTCTACAAACTGCTGAGTCTCATAGGACACATCTAAAAAGACACAAGAATCCATGTATTTATATAATGAAGGTGGGAAAGTCTCCGTGCTTGGCTCCAATGAAAAAGCTCCAGAGGCTCTGCAGCACATGCGAGTTGTTAACACAGTAGTGTAAACTCCTGCAAACATCTTGGGCTACATAAAATGTACGGGGAGGCTGTATCAAGTATATGTATCCACAGCTGCTCTGGCAGCCTGAAATGTCTGCAGGGGAAAAAAGCCATATGACAACTCATTTTGCTATAGGCATTCGTGGGAGCTGTATGGCATGTGCTTTAGGCCCCATTCACACCTAGGCGTATTGTAATATGCGCGTCTGTCGCGCGACCGTCACGCGATTCCAAAGGCTACTTGGCAGTATCCAAATGGAAAACGCCCTACAAAACGGCCCTAAGTAGTCCTGGGACCTTTTCAGGTGTGGGCCGTTTTGTAGGGCGTTAGGGACAGGCGGAAATACGCCTAGGTAGGAACGAGGGCATTGACTACAATGCAATTTATATTTTTGACCGTTTTGTAGAGCGTTCGTCGAGCGTAGAACTCCCTTCAAAACGGTCAGGTGTGAACGCAGCCTTAGAGAGCACATGATGAATTTTGGAAGTGCTTCGAAAAGCAAATGCGAATGCTAAAGATAAGTTGTTGATCGCTACCCATTAATAGCACAACCAAAGATCGTCTGTGTGCGCCTAACCTTAAGTTAGCCATACATGTTAAGAATTCTCTCATTCAGCCAGAGTTCTCTCGTTCAGCCCTGCTGGCTGAATGAGAGAAACCAGTCAATTCCCCCATCCATGCTAAATAGTGTGTGTGGAGGAATCTCTGCTTCTGACTATTATATGAATACCTGCCAACTGCATCTGATTTGATGCATGTTCGGCCAACAATTTTCCAACCTGCTCTTTTGATTTATGTGGAGCTGTGTGGTGCTTAATCAGTCAAAAGTCACCTCATCTGTGACCAGCTTTAGTGTTTTTATTACTATGAATAAAGGAATTTTAGCCAATCAAAACCTGTCTTCCAACGATTACTAAGGCGCTCTGCAATGCATGTGATTTTATCTGTTGAGAAAAACTGCATTAAGGTGCCCGTACACCTGCCGATTATCGTACAATAATCGCGGGTGATCCCGCGATCGTATGATAATCGGCAGGTGTATGGGCAGCGTGCGACCGCATCTCCTGTACGGTCGCACGTCTTTAGTCTTCCTAGCACGCTCGAAAACCGGCCGAAAATCGTACGATTGTCGCGGGTTGGTAGCGTGCTCGGAAGATGAATGCCGCACGGGCCGGTGTGCACTGCCCGCTCAGCACTGCAATCATCGGAAGCCCTCCCCTCAGCGGGCGGGGGGGAGGGGCTTGCGATGATCGCAAGTACGATCTGCCTGTCCAAGATGGGCAGATCGTACGAAATTTTAATGACCTTACAACCATCGCACAACGAAAGTCGTGCGATGGTTGTAAGGTGTATGGACAGCTTAAGTCAGCCCAATCTCTACTCTTGAAATTTAGGACATGCTGCGTATTGCCTCAGTGCACCACAAT